TATGTTGGCTCTCGGTTAGAAGCAAGTGCTCACATCCGAAGCTTGCATCTTTACGTCTCAATTCTCGACGCATTGTGTAACGCAACCAGGTCACTACTCGACATCAGAGTAACCAGGAACTGGGGCAGAATAGTTATTACTCGCTGGATTGCCTGGAGGGTCCTTTGCGTGGGTTTTATTTTTAAAAACATTATAAATACTCCGTTGCCTAGTTACGCTTTATACGGTCGCGATTAAAAGTAAAATCGCGAATAATCCACGAATTGCGCTCGCATTGTTAAAAGCGGTTGTACGGATTTTATCTTTTAATTTTTGTTAACATCAATATGAAATTTATTTTTAATTGGATTATAAGTGGTTCGCTTGCCGAGTATTTACAAAAACAACCAGGTTACTTACATGTACAAAAAGAGATAGGTCTTTGTGTATGTGTGTAATCATATGTATATATCTAAAAATCATAGACAAATATTCAATATAATGTACCTATATGACATGCTAGCCACTAGAAAATATCTGTCTTTGAACTTCAAAGTAAACTTCGCTTAGCAATTGTGGTCTTGAAAATCAAGTAAAGTTGTGGCTTAGTTTGGGATATTCTTAAGGGAAGAACGAATAGCAAGATTTACAGAGTATCCATAAGTAAGTCGAATTATCAATATATTTCTTGATAAGTAACACAAACGTCCACAATTGAAATATTTAAGATGGATCTATACATCTATAGACAGGAACGAAAACATAAACGAATTAAATGAAACTCAATTCAAACATCAACACTGACCCAAATTCAACTCGGATCGTCACTCGTCATAATGGAGAAACGTAATGTCATGCAAAACGGTCGGAAATGAGGTAGCCTGAAAAAAGGAATCCCAGAACACGTTTGTGCTAATGTTCCAGACAAGTTATTTCTATTGAGGGAAAGGGCCTACTTTTACGACTCGTTATATGCTTACTGAATTGAAAGAAGAACGTGACTGGGAACTCAACGTACTTTAATAAACTGCACGTCTTATTAAAAATCTAAAAAGTGTAGATATATATAACACGATCTACAACTAACCAGCACCTTTCCCCTCTATATGGTTCTAAACCTCTCTTACAACCACTTAAGGTTCACATGAGCTATAAGAGTTTATGAAAGTCGTAGTGAACAGCAATTAGCACAGATCATACATGTTAGGTCGACATCAAAACGATTTTTGAATCGTCTATTGGAACATGAAAATGCGATTTCATAGCGCGGAGAAAAGTTGACCTTGTCGAGGCACCCCTCGCAACCGGTCGCATCTCAACACCGGAATGTACGCAAACATAACCAGTTCTAAAAGAAACTCCAATTACACATGCATTACGAACAGTTTGTATGGACATGTTTAGGGCACAAAAAAAACACAGATCTAGGGAGCAGCTGTACAAACGGGATGATTTATGCTAGCATAAATCGCAAATATGTCAAAGTTGTTGTTGATAAAAGTCTATATCACCTTTTTCAAATTGCCCTAGAAAAACACAATTCTATTGAGGTTCAGCCAAAAGGAAACGTCGAAAATTAAGAGGGCATACAATAATCTCGGTTATTATTATCCATTAATGCCATGCCCGTGGTGGGTAACAGCTCTTACATCCACGCTATGAGAAAGGAGTAGCAGTTGCAAATAAATAAAGTGAAACGATAGAATAATCTTCGAAGCTTCAAAGTCTACATAGAATAAATTTAAACTTGCATTTCCGTAGGGTTTAATTTACTGTGGCTTCAATTAAAAACCAAAAGGGAAACAGTGTAAATGCGTTAATCAGATCAAAGATATGTTTTCCGTCACCGTTATTAATAGTATAACTAACATTAAATACTGTCTATAGCTTACGCGAGTAGTACACATTTAAATAAAACACTTTAACGGTTTAAGACGCGATATACTATTACATCGCTTTTTAAACCGTTAAAGTGTTTTATTTAAATAACTAACATTGGCAAGATAAAGAAATTAGTTTAAAGCAATAAGAGTAAATAGTTTGAAGGCAAGACAGTTGTTTCTAATTATCTCAGTTTATTCACAGGTTGGTAAATTATGAAACGGAAGCCGTATAAATCCAGGTCGTCTAATACTTCACTTTAAATCCAAGGTCTGTATTTTGGACTGTATTGGCTAAAATTACAGCGAGTCTAAGAAAATTAATGTTGAATAGACATCGGACAAGAGGTTTACGTTAATTCGCTTACTATTGTTACAGTAATGTGATTACATATCAAATCCGCTTTCAGACAAGTAGAAGTGGTTGCTGGTACGTCACTTGAGCGTACATTGACTGAATTACAAGCTACATAATGTTAGTGTAACTAATGGATGCGAAGATACACATGGAATTTCCTTTTTCCACAACCTTGCCTTAAATTTTTATCAAAGCTATTATATGGCCTCGTGTCAAGAACTGAAGCGACCAAGTTAAATCTTGAAGGAATAAAATAATTTCGTTTAGGCTAAGTGCAAAAGTTTGATTTGAAAATTCATTCTCATTTGAAACAACAAAACATTATGTTGAGCTGACGAAGAGAAACAGGAATTTCAATAATGCCAAGAAGATAGATGCACAATGTGAACTTAAGACATCGAATTTATTTACTAATAAACCGCTAGTTTTCATTATGACGCCACTTTTATACCTCCACAACATCCAGGTCTTCATATAATTAAGTCAACGCAACAGTCATCATTATAATGCTTTTGACAGAGCTATTCCTTCATTGCCCACTCTCCATTTACTGGAACCCCAATAACTTGTACTCACGTGGGAACACAACAGCGAGTGTCACGACTCGGACGATACGGGCCCGATGCGGGGACATGATTGAATAGTAATGATCATTAATACTCGCGTCTGGGTGGCGAAATTGCTGGAATCCTTATCGGTTAAAGGCACTAACTGTTCTCTTTATAAAAAGCAGGACATCACATATATACAAATGTATAATAAATAAATAAAATTAAAATCTAACCTACCTTTAAGGTAACCTACTTTTGAGAACATTTTTTACGATACTGCACCTATCCACTAGTACACAAGTTGTAGAGCTCCATGGCGACGGTAACCTGCCCTTATGAGTTCGAGTCCCGCTAATATGATGTTCTGTTTTTACAATTTAAAATTAAGAGTGGAACTTCGAAAGATGCAAGCAATTAATATAATACATAGTTGCTATAGAATCAAGTAGTTTATTGGTTTATCCTACTTTGAATATTAAGGAGACACATTATCACCACCAAACATTAATTTAATGTTTTTATTTAAGTGGTTGCATTATATTTCTATTCAATATAGATATTTAATTCAAATATAACACTTTCTAAAATCAACCAAACATAATGGCCAAATATTTTTAATTTCTGGCGTAACGTAGAAACTTTCCGATCACTAACTAACACTAATAAGTAAGCTACTTTATAGGACACTTTCCCCACGTTTGAACATTACTTTCTATGCGTTGAGAGCGATGTCGAGAAGTCCAGCCTGTATTTGGCAAGCATATATAGCTACTTGAGTAACTGGAAAGATTTCTTTAGCTCCCACTGCACAACTTGTCATTACAATAGACATTACGACTTATACTTTCACATTATTGTTTGTACATTTTAGTTATTGAAAACCGAGTTTTTACTGGTTGTTTAAATATTTATACTACCCTATGTAATTCATTAAATGCTGCGTCAATACTAATTTAAAAAATTGTAAATTAGACTACAAATAACGAAGTCTTGAATTCAAATCCAAGGATTTTAAGTATCATCTCCGATTATAAAGCAGTGCAGGTGTTATTACTATTTTAGTAGAAATTATTCCAGAAAAAAAACACCTTTGAAATACTTCTAAAACACTACTCATAAATCCAACGCAAAAAGACTCTGAGTATTATAAAATCTTACAGCTTTTACATCTCACATTAAAGAATCATTTATAGAAGACCTTGTACTAGAAACTGTTTGTTTGTGTCTTACTGGAATAGATTTATTGCCACATTCTTCGCAGTATTCACATATGCTGGACATGCAAAATCAATTATATTTTTTTCTGTCTTTTATTTCAAGATTGTTATGATATATATATTATTAGAACTGGATAGCAACATCCGCTGTATATCAGCAGTGGGTCGAGTGACTGACCAGGATTATTAAAACTACTGTACATTTTCAATATTGTAAAATAAGGTTAAGTATAGATAAATAAAAGTTAAATATATATTTATCGTTACTAAAACCAATAATAACAATATTTTATACAAAAATGTTAGTCTGTATTCTGAAATTAATTAGTATGTAATCTTTTGCATTAAAGATATAACCCACTTCTTTATACATATATAAACAGAATAAAATAAATATTATGACTTAATTTGACCCTATGGCAATGACACATGGTATACAGGAAGGTACAACATATGACAATTACCTAATATAAGTTAAAATGTACCTATGCTACTTGTCTAATATAGGTAGATATGCTTTTCCATTCTGTGAGCATTACCTGTAATTTTAGTTAAGAAAAAGTTGAGTTTATGGAACCCAGTATAAACTTATTTATTTTGTGTACTAACAAGATGACAAAAATGTTCTTGCCCTTCATATAATACTTTTTATCATAAGAGAAAGATAATATAATACAATATGGATGTATGCAAGTCAACTTACATGTTTTTTTATAAATTATCAATATAGACAAAGTTATTATCTTGCAGATAAGATATATCCTGATATTTAGTGATAAACAATTATTTTCAATTTTTAAGAATCTTGATCAACATTTTGGGCAGTTAAACCTTTAAATTATGAGACCACCAACCTTAGAAACTAACAGAGATTAGGATATGACTAGATTCAGACGTGCGTTATCGTAAGTTGAATACCTCCATAAAATACGGTGCACACGGCGTACTTCTATAAACATGACGTCAGTCTTAGTATGAAAAGTTTTTATGTAAACCAATCTATGATAATACATACCCATCGCCAACCACGACACACTTGATCGCCTGCATTTTTGTTCAAAAACCGTTGAAACAATGTTAAAATAACACAATTACACCGTAGGTTTCGAAGCAATTTCGATTCATGAAATCGCTAGCACTAAACTATCACTTTCAGCTACAATTTAAGCACATCACATGCAGTACAACACTCCTTCGAAATAGATGAGTCTTTAGACAACAATAATGTCTCTACATGAACATAATATCCTCTATAACGACAAGAGTATAGTTGAGTCACTTCTAACTATACTTAGCAACGGATTCGCCGATGGCGATTATCGTTTCCCGTGTCCAACAGTCCACTCGACATTCATTCCCAAAATCCATAGCCAAGTTGTCTTTGAAATCCTGTACATGTTAACTGTCAATGTCAATCCATATTTTATAGCAAATTGTATTTAATATAGTAATGATAATGATATTTAGTTCTTCTATAATCTGTGATATTTTTTTATATATAAATCAAAATGTATGTCATATCAATAATATACACTGAAGTTTTTAAAGTTGAAACTTTGATGTCACGCCTACCCGTGAAATTTTTTCAATTTTCTGCTGTAATCTGTATGTGTAGGTTTCTTCGTTTCACCATAGAGTCAACTTGTCAATTTAATTGTATTAATATTTTGACGTTTATCATGTTTACAATTAATGTCAAAGCGTAGCATGGCGGCACATAATATTGCGCGGTATTGCGGGATTATTTGATTTTATTTAACAAATAATGGCGAAAGGTGATAAAGATTTAGAAAAACCTGTTGTGAAAAATGAACTGCCTACACCTGAGTCTCGGAGTACTGACAATGAGGATTCTGAATCTAACCAAGAGCAACTGTTGGACATTGGCGAACATTATTTAGTGAGGCGTGTCGATGACTCATGGCGGCCGGCTGAGATTATACAGACGCGTTACAATTCTTCGGATTCGTGCTACGAATATTATGTGCATTATGTTGGGTGCGATAGGAGACTGGACGAATGGGTACCCCGCCACCGAATTATGTCCGATAGATTTGACGGATGTGATCAATCTAACAACAAATCTGATCATTTATTGACAGATAAATCCGGCCGCAAAATAACGCGTAATCAGAAACGTAAACATGATGAAATCAACCATGTCCAGAAAACTTATGCGGAAATGGACCCCACAACTGCGGCTCTTGAAAAAGAACATGAAGCAATAACTAAAGTTAAATATATTGATAGAATTCAGTTTGGTAAATATGAAATAGATACTTGGTATTTTAGCCCGTACCCAGAGGAATATGGTAAACAATCTAAATTGTTTATTTGTGAGTTTTGTTTGAACTATATGAAACTAGAAAAAACATTTATCAATCATGCAAATACCTGTCCACAACGACAACCACAAGGCATGGAAATATACAGAAAGGGAACTATTGCTATATTTGAAGCTGATGGTAAAGAAGATAAGCTCTATTGCCAGAGTTTATGTTTACTGGCTAAGTTATTCTTAGATCATAAGACCCTATATTTTGACATAGAACAATTCCTGTTTTACATGTTATGTGAAGTTGACAAACAAGGTGCACATTTAGTAGGTTATTTTTCTAAAGAAAAGGACTCTCCGGAGGGTAACAATGTAGCTTGTATCTTAACACTCCCACCTTTTCAAAGACAAGGCTATGGAAAGCTGCTAATTGCTTTTAGTTATGAGTTATCAAGGTTAGAAAAAGTTGTAGGAAGCCCAGAAAAACCATTATCAGACTTAGGTAAGTTAAGCTACAGGTCATATTGGTCTTATGTTATATTGGGTGTATTAAGTATGACCAGAGGTATTCTTAGTATCAAGGACCTTAGTCAAATGACAGGAATTGCTCCGACTGATATTATATCAACACTACAGTCTATGAATATGGTAAAGTATTGGAAAGGCCAACATGTAGTCTGTGTTACACCAAAGATGGTTGCTGAGCAATTTTCTAGTTCTCATTTTAAGAAACCTCGTTTAACAATTGACCCGGATGCAATAAGGTGGACTCCTCCCCTTAAACAGGGGCCTTCTGCTAAGGTTAAGAAGTAAAATAAGTGCTGTAAAGTAAGATAAAGTGTATTTTGTAAAACTTGCATTTTCTTAGTACAAAAAGTAGGTAAACAATACCTATTATAGATTGTTAATTCTGTTGTGGAAAATCAAATTTTCTCCATAATTCATCTTTTCAAACATTTCAGCATAAAACTCTGTTACTGCATAGAAATTCAGGAAGTGCTCTTGTATATAATGCTTTCCTGTACTAGAAGTGTGATATTGCTTATTTTTGTAGTGTCACATATATTACATTCAAGTCATGTAATGAACAATTTATTTTATTTTGTAGAATATCCTTCATAATTTTTGTTAGATTCTGTGAATCATATGTTTTATTGTGATAATAGACTAGTTATAAGTTAAAATGTCAAAAGTTCAATGAAAAAAATAAACATTATTTGTTTTTACATTTTTTTTAATAATTTATAAAGGAAGGAGGAAACTAAATTATTATAATTAAATCTTTTGTAACAATGCATTATGATTATATTGTGTTTATATTTCAAAAAGCAAATGTTGGTGTCTTTCCAATTCTTGTGGGTTTCAATAAGTTAGACCCCGTATTCCTCATAAATTTCCTTTTTGTATCTGATTAAAAATAATAAAATATTAATCATACATTTGAAATATTTAATATAATTTCTGAATAATGAAATTGTAAGTATTATTCACATGTATTTAGCATGAAAGAACTTGTGTATGACACAAGCACAATGTCATTAATTATTTGATAATAAAACAATATATTTTCCACAATACCTATATTCAATTTATTTCATTATCGTACAACAGATGAATTAGAATAGTATTATTATGCTTGAAAATATAATTGTCGCTATACAAACCAGTTTTCATTGTGCGCCTACAGAGTTTTACACAAAAGTAACAATTCTGATTGTTACCGAGCCTGAATGGAATTACATCTGGTTAGGAGAGCATCAATTATATTTCTAAGGCATCAGATCTTATGAACAAAATAACAATTCACAAAGGTCAAATCTCTGTCTCTTTGGTTATATCTCACACTATAGAAACTGTCGATCTCATGATTACAATGATAATATATTAAAACTTTGACATATAGTGCGACACCTTTGCGTCGCACAACTGTTAAAACAAAAGTAGTTCTAATGAATATTCAGTAAGTACATATCTACTTATTATAATATCATGAATACCCCAGAAAATAAAAATGATGAAGGTAGGTACTCTCACACCGTAGAACTATGTAAGTACGCGATTTAAAATGGCTGCAAACATTACAGTTTAGGTTATTAGCTACTTAAGTAACTAATCGAGACTTTATGTTTATCTGATATTAAAATATATTCGAAATGATTAGACAAACTAACAGGAAAAAAATCTAAGTTTATGATCGTTCAAATCTATATTCGAAATATTATATTACTGATATGAACTATGTCAATAAGTTATTATAAGTTAATCATACTAAAATCTAAAGCATCGTAACTTAAGGTATTCTCATTAAAATGAAACAAAGGATATTTAAGCTAATTTATGGCAGACTAGTTGAAGACAACAACTGCACATCTCAGAAACCATTTAGCCAACCCATTAAAATCCGACGACACCAAAGACAATAGAAGAATGTGGGAGATTACATCTTTCATATGGCCACTCAGCTTTTTTGTGGCTTTAAAATAATATCTGCTGCTAAAATCTAATACAGCTGTGCAAGCTATGGAAGTGAAAAACTACCGTCTATAACCATTTATAACACTTTACATGAAACACGTTAAATTACATTACATTTAGTCTAAATCGAATCGAAAGCACATCAATCCTAAACGCCTTCTAGGCCAATCCAACATTGCTTATTACATGGCAACATTTAGCTTTCCACTCAGAATTATTACAAAATCGATATAAGCTTTGTACCTACATTTAGACCATGACATATTACACTTATACTACTAGAAAAATATTTAACTGTCTACAATTTTACATGATAAAAATATTGCGGCTATTTTAAAGAATCCTTTTTATTAAATGTTATATTTGGATTTATGACATTAGCATTTCTTTGGCAAGATTATGTTTAAATAAAAATGTATACAGGATTCTATTTAACGGTTTCTAGGTATTTTCTAATGGGACAATACACAAATATTGCAATAATAATCGTCAAACGTCGTAACTTCAGATCTATAATTTCAATATTTTGTCAGTATGGGGCCAATTTTTTTTTTACCGTTATTATATATAAGAATATGCTAATTATATGTTTATTTAAAAATAAACACACGTCTTGCAAAAGTGAATGCCAAAGCATTAACAATTGTTTTAATATGCGTTAGAGTCAATGCAGACGAGAGACTAGTATAGTCACAGTACGTATGTCATGTTCCCTGCCTGATCGAAAATTTGCTTAAGATTTCGTCAGGATTTAAAACCTGGATATCAGGATTTTCGTCAGTCGCTTGCGTTGAGATTGATTATTGCAGAATACATATGTCTAATTTTCTTATACAATATATTTTACTTTCCTCCGTATTGTCTTGTACATAATAAGATTCAGAAATACATTAAATACTTCAATTTCACTGTCATAAGAGCAAAAAACAATAAGGTCTCGTACTAGAAGTTTTAACGTCAATAAAATATAAAAAGAAACTCCATTTTTGCAATACTTTCATTAGCCACTCGGTAACATAGCAGATTGTTTGTGTCTGACTCTTCTAGGTCGAGACTAGTGCCCATATTTATAAAGATATGGGCACTAGTAATAATAAAGTATGAAATGTGCTATTTTATTTACATTTAGGATATTATGATACAAAGATGTAGGATATATTGTCCTTTATAAGTATACCTACAAGCAGGTACTATGAATGTATACGCTGAAATATTTACGAATAAACAGGATAACATATATAACCAAAGGAAAAATGTTATACCACTTTCTCAGACGATTCCGATAATACTTCAAACAGAAAATAAATATTATTATAATAGGGCCCAATTGCGCCAAAATGTTCTATGTATAAATACAATTCTCTCTACGAACTACAAACTATAAATAAAACGTAATATTATTTCACTTTCAATATATGTATCTTAAACAATATAAAAATAAACATTTTAGTTTGACTATAGTTCGAGATCTTTCTTTAGTAAATTTGTGACCTCTTTCAATACTGGTTGGTTACAATGTCAAAGTAGGTTATTGAAAAACATACGACATTAAGCAAATGAATACCTCCTCCAGTTTAGTATGTCGGGGCTGTGTAGTCGACGTTACCTAAAACCGTTTACGTGAAGATTATTATAAGATATCATGACTAGTTAAAAAACGTCAGAAGAGACCCAACTCGATACTCTCGATTGATTTCCGTCTATTATTTCTTTATGTATTGGATAAATCAAATGATATTTTCATTTTAAGATTATTCAAAGTTGTTTTTCTCACCTGTTTGTTGTTGTGAAAAGGGGGGGTCGCTGTACGGTGGCTGCGGGTCGGGTGCACCTGGGTAAGCCGGGAAAGCCCCTGGACTACCCACAGCACCTTCGACTTCATAAGCAGGTGCAAATGCCGCCTCTGCTCCCATTCGGAATCTTTGGAACGCAAAGAACGCACAAGCGACCTGTAATGTTTTTGGGGAATATTTGTAATGTAAAAGTATGCCATCTGTTGTCTTGTTACGTATATAATCACTGTATTTGTAAAGAAAAGGAACTTACCCAGGCAAAAATGGAGAAGAAACAAAATGCAATAGCGCCCTGCATATTGTTAGCGGTTCCGATGGGCGGGTTCTCAGTCTTTCCCCACGCGTTCGACAAGTAGCAAAAACCCACGAAGTACAGGAAAGCCCAGAATGCTGGAAGAATAAAATAAGTAAATACAATCGCTTGCTTTGAAAGAATTATTTCCTTTTTTAAATCTATTGTAACAACTAACTTATGATTATTATTTATGAGCGAGAAGTTTTGCCACCACGAGCGGACGGCATCATCAGGAGATGTTAGCTCATCGATTGCTCGAAGAATTATGAACCTCTTCTCGCTTACGTCGGCGGAATAGCCCGAAAAACAATAATATGCTAAACGATAGCCGTGAAAGCCTCATACAATTTATTAGCTAGCTTATTTTACAATATTATTCCTTAATAACTAATCAACAATGCTTATACATTTTCTTACTGTTCTTTCTTCTTGTGAAAAAAAATAGCAGAGAGTTTCTTACCAATTCTTTTCATTAATTAATCGATTTTAAATTTCAATTAATAGTCATGCTGACATTCTGATCTCTAGCTAAGCATGGTATGCGATTGATATGAATAGAATGTTGTACCTATTTGTATGAGGAAAAAGTCGACCTGATTTTGTTTATTATGTCGAACTGAGTATGTAACTGGGTATCTGGAGTGTAAATCCTCTTAGAGCGAGCTAACATAATATTTCACCTTCGTGTTTCTCAACCCTAATGCTTGCTAAGTCGAAGAAAACTGTAACTGTAACGCGCTCCATATTTTTCCAAGAAAAATAAGAATAAACATGAACGTGTGGTTTAGGCTTATTCGGTTTCGAAGGATTGAAGTATATTCAAGTTGGTCGTGGAATAGAGTGACATCGACTTTTTATTATTTTATATAATCAATAAAATGAAATGTTTATGCAGATTGATGACCCGGCCTATAATTGTTGTACCAATCTAATAAAGCTGGAGAGTTGGTTTGTTTAAACGCGCTAATCTCAGGAACTACTGGTTAGAATTGAAATATTTTTGTGTTGGATAGACGTACATCGAGGTTATACATAACATCATCGCTGCTACATCATAGCAGCATAAAAGCAGTGGAAAAATACCGAAAAAAGTATTCATCTTTTAGAGCTATCGTTACGTGCTGTTATATAGCTGTGCCAACCGAAAAGAAAAGGTTTAAGAAACCAAAAATAACTATGAAAGAATGATTCCTCGTTAAATGATCTAAAATAATGTCCACGACAGTATATGTCTGTTTTTTTTATACCAATGGTAATCGAATTTTATCAAATTACTGCATTATTACTAATTATTTAGTAGAGTAGTAACAATATAATAATAAATCTTGCAATCAAGTTGCTGGATCAGCTAGTAGAAAAGTAATAAGCTAGCATGTGAATTACCTACGTGTAAAAGTTGGAAAGGTTTTAGTCTTGTTGGATTTCAAGCTGACTTGCTGAAAAATACAACTGCAAAACTGAAAATTACGACAGGAAGTAATATTTCACACATAGACGTACACTGGTCGTTATGGCATCGTCTAAGCATTTGGTTCGAGGACCGATAAAGCTTAAGTGGGTCAAGGTGATTTTTCGGTAAAATGTCAACATAAAAAGCGTAGAACATTAAAGGTACTTGATGATTTCTAAGAATGTCTTTAATTAGTGAATAGTCGACAATATAATTAATAATAGGAATATGATTTAAAAAGTCATATTTAAATAAAACACTAACTTTTTGAGAATTATTTTTAACTACGGCCCGACGTTTCGGATGCTTTGCTTGAGTTAAAGTGTCTTATTTAAATGTGTACTACTCGCGTAAACTACAGACAGTATTTAAAAAGTCATAGTTTTGACATAGGGTATGGCAATCACATTTCTGAATGCATTTCATTAATCGACTAAGCAAGTATCGTAACGATGTACTAAAATTTGACAATAATCATAAACAAGGAGCTAGTTAAAACTGACCCACGAACCACGTACTGAATCACAAAGGCCTAAATCTAGAATTTCTAAGAAATGAATCTTTATGATTTATATTGCGGTATATGTTATAAATAATAAAACTAAAATAAATAAATAAATTTATTAAACCCGATATCTTTAGACGTGGAATTGTTAAGCTTAATAGGAATAAATAAACCTCTGTTATTTACGCTTATTATAACTTTGATGAATAAAAATGAAAATAGCTACTATAGAGTTGAGTGTAAAAACGAGAACAAATAAACAAATAACGAAGCTCATATGCTCAGGTCTTCAAAGACATTATCTATCGGTTTCCTACACATTGGTCCATTAGAGATGGGAACTAAACAAGTAATCAGAGCTCGAATGAGCACATATACTTGATGTCAATTTATTTTTTATGAATCAAGCGACCTTATTTGCGCTTTATTACCTAACGGTCAAAATTAGGTCACATTATTTAAGGATTCTTTAGATAGTGCTGATTCTAAATTATGTAATAACATCAATGAATATTGATTTAGCAAATCTGTACTAATATTATGAGGCTGAAAAGTATTTTTATGTCTTAACGCGCTATTCTCGGGAACTAGGTATGAGGTTCGAATTAAAAATTATTTTTGTTTCGTTGCACTATTTAAAGAGGAAGTCTTTAGGCTATAAAATATCAGGCTGCGACCAACGGCAGCGAAGAAACACAGGGAAATATGGAAACAGCGGGGAAATTATAACGGTTTTTGGTTTATTCAACGTTTTTCAAAAACCTAAAACATTATGTTTTGTAGAACCAAAATAAATGTAAGAAAAAATTATTTCTCTTTAAATGATCTAAAAATTTCAAGCGAAAGTATAGTCCTTTTTTTTAAGATTAACTCGCAAGAACCGTGGGACGCCGAAAACGTAATAAGAAACAGCTATAATTTATAAAACCGAGGAGGTTGTTTGCAAAAATAGATATATGATCCAAAATAATTAATCCACGCAGACGAAGTTCCGCGATAGTGATACATAAAACGACGTCATTTCAGTTGCATTTTTACATTTACATAAACTTCTAGAGACTCCTAGAGATTGTATTGTTGTTAGCATGCAAAGATTGCGCTTCATTTGTATTCTTATATCAAAGTTAAAATACTAACCTGAGAAACCCAAATCGGCTAGGACATAGTGCTTTCTCGTCTTAACGGATGACATCTGCTCAAAGAGGTATTCGCCAGCAATGAAGGCCACACACGCTATGAAGGCGATAACGGATATTCCAACTCCGTAGTTACAGGCGTTAGTATCGTCATTATAAACACAATACTCCTTGTTATCTGACTTCTTCACGTACCAGCCCTTGTCTGATATGCAGCCCATGACGATCACACAGAATAACTAGGAACGATGAAAACATTGAATACTTTGATGGTATGATCATGAGTGTTAACTTGACATCAGCAAATTTGACCTCAAGAGTCCAGATTCTTTATTTAGAAGTGACTCTTTAGCATAACTTAGACATTTTAAATAAGGTTACTGTTATATTTTATATAGTGATGCTCTCAAAAGTATAGTGCGGAGTGCTACTGTAAGCTTAACACATTTAGGCTTCCATGAGAATTTCTGAACAGGTCAAATAAAATTTATACCACATGCTAATTGTGTTTATTTTTAAGGGATAACTTTTATAGTAGTTTAAGCTAAAGTAGTGTCACACATTTTAGAAACACACCTATAAATGATAAAAAATTCCCCATTCTTTATATATATGTATGTATTATATTTGTAGTGTTTAATTCTGTACACATATATGATACTTCTGTAACCCCTATTTCCAAAAGTTAATGTACAGTAGGAGTGATTTTGTCCGTTTATATTACAAAAATTCTATAATTGTTGTGCATGTACTCATTTAATGTTTGTAGTAGTAATGATTTTATTTAAAAGACAAGTCTATTTTAATTTATACATAAAGGGAAATAACATTTTTAATTGAGTCAATTGAAATGATGTCATATACTGATACTATGTTGCACCTTAAAGATACAATGTCTTTATCTACTATGTAAGTTCACTCATAATATGAAAGGACATCATCTGCCAAACAACAATAATTACAGTAAGTATATATTTTAAAGATAATCTTTTATTTTCTAGAGTAATCTCACGCATATTCTAAATATCATAACAACAAGGTGAAGTAACGGTACATACTTAAAATTAAATTTTCATTTTTTGATTAAAATCATCCAACAAAGTAATTTAATTGTTTTATTATTGTAGAAGGTTAAATTATTAATCATATTGTAACGAATGTAATCGTTGAGAACAATATAAAAAATCCTGTATATGTAGATTGCGCACTTTTATATAATTTAAAGAAATAGTGATTCGTTCATCCTTACCCAACATACCGCCCTGACGATTACAGTCGGTTTTTGGATGAATGCCTGGGGATCAAAGGCTCCACCAGCCTTACCTCCACCGTAGGCACCTGAAGTATCCATTTTCACTATACTAAAGTTTAGCGTACTTGCACACTTTCGTACGCTGCAGCCTATAAACGTCTCTGACCTCGCAAACTGAATCTTTATCTATAAATTCTTATCGATCGTTCAGCGCAGGCTCGAAAGCCGTGCAGCTAAATTCATGCCATATTCATGCTAAATTCGCATGTCGCTTTCATATGGGGAAATTTTTTGACATTTGGGCGGAGTTGCCAGCATTTACTTCGAATTTTGCACGCTAAATCTGTCAAGTATTATGACTTCGAAGTTGTCAATGTTCTACAGATAAGATTTCTGGCAATCTATTCGATCCATTATCGATGCAGGTATTAAACGAGACAATTCAATTCTCAAAGATGTTAGAAAATCAAATAAAACCATTGGCTATCTTTCGCGCCGGGAAGAATTTACTAGACTAAGTAACCATAGACGCAACATGAATAAAACGTATTTCAAAGTATTACAAATATTTATTCAAATAAGAATTGCATTATAAAATAAGAAACACCAGTTTTCATTAAATAATAAAAAGTAAATTTAAATATTTTTACAGAACGATAGAGCCGCCACTTGAAAATAAATTTTGACTAGTACTAAAAATAAAAAAACGAAAAAATGTGGATCCCTACTTAAAATTGCCATAATAGCACCCTTTCTGTTAGTGACGGCCATTTCATAGATATACAAATCTAAGTATGAATCGTTAGGTATCAAAGGATGTAGAAACACTGATCCTATTATTTACAATACAAAGCTAATAAAAATATTATGATGCGCTACATTTCATTGTTAATATTAATATCGTGTGATAATAACACAATAGAGTAAAAAATACCTTATTCCTACACTTGTAGGTAGGTAAGTAGTTTTTAGCAAACATTTTAATAATTACGTGATACTGAATTGTGTTATTATTGCATTACATGGCGTTCCGCTGTCACTATGCGTACAAAATTACATTAGCTTTTTCCGTATTGAAGTACATAAAGTAATATGAATGAATGTTTCATCAATATTATTGGTAAGTGTTAGAAGACAATATTATAAGTTTGTCATGTCTATTGCGTACTTTATGGCCACTGAATATCACGTTCAAATAATTACAAATGTAAAGCTATATTACAAGTTATATGCAATCATAATAAGAATAATTTTCAGTGTGTCCTTAGTACGAATTTGTACCTTATATGTACGGGGCTATTTTTGTTGTCAAAATGGGTTTCATAATAAATTAGCCTTTTATGAATTACCTATGATTAATACACATTATCTAGGATATCTATTCTTTACCAGATGAAGGTTTACTATACATTCACCATAGAAACGCTATTTTTCACACTATATCTAGAGCTACCATTTTGTATAAATTCTAACTACTTGGCTACATTACAATATCAAGGTATTCTACAAATTTTATTGTACACGGGAAACTAACTACTACCTAAATCTATGACATAATTTAAGTAAAACTATTTACAAAAATAGCCCTTTATCTGTTTCACATCCTGACTACATAATAACTGAAAAGTTACACAAAAGTTTCTAGTGAATCTACACAATATTGCTCTTGTAAGGAACTACTTTTTCCCAAATTATAATGAAGCCGTGTTGGAAAATGTATCTATCGTGTCTCTTTTGTGAAGTTTTCTGGTTTTATTTTCCAACCAACCAGGCTATAAAAAAGATATTTATTTAAAATTTACCACAGTCATGTTAGATACATACAATTTTGGTGAAAAATATTTTCGGATATGAAACCTGGGAATTATTAATATATGTTGACAGATTATGACAGTTAAATTTGTGACACGATAACGAAAGCAGTACGTGTAAGTGATAACAGTTCTTTATAAGAAAAACATCAATTATTCTTATCAAAATCAGAAGTTTTGAATATATTAATTTTCTTAAGTAGTGGGAGTTTATCATTGTCTTTCGAGCTGTTCGGCCGATGTGAGCGAGAGGAGGTTCTCGACGTTTCGCCATCACGTGTGGACGGCATCATCAGGAGATGTTGACTCCTCGATTGCTCGAACAATTATGAAAGCCTTACACAATTTATTAGTGGAAGTTATTACTTATTATTTCCAGTAATTCAGTTTAGTGGACACTTTTGCAACTAGAATAATTATTAAAAGCAGAGAGAACAATGTTTTGCGGAAAAGGCAGTGCTGGAGCCATTCTACATTTTAAGAAATTAAACATTTACAACAACACACCAAAATAAGTACCGATCGCGTCATCCATTTCTTTGGAATTTCTTTAAATTTAGATTTATTCGAGGGTTTAGCACTAAGAACCAATTTCAATGAGAAATCATGACATTGTAAGGAAGTTACGAGGAGGCAACTTCATCTCCATATAAAATCTGTACTTTAATGTCATTATTTCTTGGTGAAATTGTATCTATGGCCGTGCCAAGTTTTAGGAATCAGTCAGCCCTTGGCGTTTTTCTTCCTCTAGCATGGCGTCGAGTTCATCTGTAAGATTTGCCAGCATATTCCCTATATCGTTTAGGACGTCTACTGGTTCTGTGCTCTTCTCTTCTTTTTCCGGCAAAGCGTGTGTAGGTTTGTCCGTGGGCCGTGGCGGAAGACTTGCGATACCCATGCCTGTTCTGCCATAATCTACGGTATGAGGTCTGCCGGTCATTTGACTACGGTTTTGTTTGATTGTACCCGCGTTTTCATTTGCAAATGGAATGCTATCAGACTCTGTGCTCGAACTTGACTGAAAAGAAAAAGTTTGGATTTAGATCACTAATGACAGAACATATTTTTTCATAATTCTTCAGTTTTTTTTACTTTTATTTTAAGTAAGCGAAATATGTAATTAACCGAATAAGGGACGAGGTTTTTATAGTCTTTGATATACAAAGTCCAAATAGGTCGACAGCACAACTTGTTCAGATATGGCTGGGGTTCACCAAGGGACTCCATACTTTTCTGCTCTATTTATCATAAAAAATATCTACTTTGAATAAAAAAAAGGAATATTGATTAAATCACCTTAAAACTAGCATCTGATCCCGTCCTCATTTTGTCCTCTTCATATCTTCGCGGGGGAGAAGATGGCGCAGGCGGTGGAGGGAGTAACCCTGTGCTATCCAAAGACACACTCAAAGAGTCGGAACTCGGGTAGGCAGGCAGGCTCAACGGTAAACTCTTTTCTGGGTGAATTTCTACTGTTGTCTGGCCGAAACGAGTGAATGGTGCATACTGGGAACTCTGGCGTTTAGGTGGTTCGGGCGGAGGCTTCCTAGCGACGTGAGGGCTCGCTCCATACGCAACGCGCTGCAGACGTGCCGAATATGCAATCTCGTCGTACGTATAATCGGGGGATTTGTCTCTGTACGCTGGAGTGGCCTGAATTTTTGCAACAGGCCGAGGACGAACCAAACCTCTCGGCCGCGGTAAGGTTCCACCACCTTCGTAACTATCATTCGTCGGGGTTATATCCCCGTCGTCATACGAACGTCGCCATTGGCCCCCATAATAAAACCCAGCTTCAGGGGAAAATGTAGTATGCGACGTCCTCTCCGAAGGGTCTTCTAGACTTTCCAAGGACTTCCCGCGTGGATGACGTATCTGCCAACAGATGATTGATAAAAGAACGATGTCGGTATAAGTTCGTATGTTAATGTAAGGAATTATCGGAAGTACATGAGCTAACGGCGTCGTTATCAAAATTATGTCATCATGCTATCGTTCCTCAAAATATTTACATATTCAATATAAAAGTTGTTACTTAAATATTAATAATAATGTCATAAGTCATAATGGTTACTTTAAATATGTTTATAACATGCTAATATCGGTTACGAGTAGTAACTGTTAATTGTTATAAAAGGTTATAAAATACTATATCTACCGTGCAGGCTTGGCCTAAAGGAGTCATACTGAAAACACAATATCATTGCAAAGTGGTGCATATAAAGGCAAGTGTTGGGGTGCGATCATTCCGACTGGTGCCAAAGGAAGTCTCATACCTGGATGGGAACCAAGTCAGTGGCACATAAGGACGTTTGTAGAGCATCAAAGTTTAGATCGGGGGGTTTATGGTAACTCCTCGCGTGTCGCTCCCAATGCTGGTATTGCTCCCTCGGATATAAATCCTTTATGTCCAATGTGCGGTTTGTGTTTGGAAAAAGAAAAGAAAAGAAAACATTCACATGCTGCTCTGGGCTAGTGGTATGAGGTGGATGCAGCGACGGGTGATTTTGTGCAGTCCTGCGACTTTTTTGAAGTACTTTCTTCGACTATTTTAAATGGAAATCAATGTTGCGCACTAGTTTCAAAGTGAAACCTGCTCCTTTTAAATTCTGAATGTGGGTGAAAATAAAGGATTGTTGATGTAATTGCAGTTTTTGAAATGGACTTTATGTCGCAGGGCTGCTGAAACAGCGAAAAATGGCGATGGACATTAGACATCTAAAGGTCTAAAGCAAACTGAAACCGAAATTGAGAAACACATCGGGAAAATTTGAAATTTAACAATTTAGTGTCACTATGTCCAATGTAGTATCAAATTATCCAAAAATAATGGACACAATTTTCCCATAACGTGTCGATTTTCTATTGCGTACATAGCTAGTGTGCTGCACATTTTATAATATTGAGCTAGAATAAATATGTGTTTGTTATATTCTTATTTATTAGTTGAAAGCTACTAAACGCTTTAGTTATATAAGCGTAGTTAGTGGTATAAAGAATGTTACACTTGAGAGAAAAATTAGGTCTTGAAAACTGTTAATAGTAAAATAAAATAGGTATATAGCATGAATATGGTACATGATCGGTGTGAAACAATGAACTTAAATAAACACTCAAATTTAATTTAATAGAATCTAGAAGGTAGACTCTAAGTTCTAGTCAATGAAATTTATAAATTGAACAAAAAATAACACTTTTAAGATTGTAAAATATTATCTATGGCTAGACCTAGAACATAATGGACTACAACACTTAAGGCAAGACAGCTTTGCTAAGTACTGACCTGTCCCGGTTGAAGCCTCGAGAAGTCTAATGAACCCTGATTGCTTATGCTTCGTTTCCCGGCACGTATGTCTTTCACTCTTTTGATCGCTAGAATAATTTTCTTTTGGTGGCCAAGTCTCACAATTCCCATGTCTTCTAGATCCTGTGAAAAAAAAAACATTAGACAGGGCAATAAAAATTGCTAGTTCCTACATATTTCGACGGGATAGATGGTGTAATGGTAGCAATTTACGGCTATAATAAACTAACCGAGTCCAACATTTTTCTAATGAATGTATCATTTTTCTTCGTTTTGAATATTAAATGGGTGCTAGAAATACCGAATTTCCGTTCGGGTCACGAACCATCATCTACAGATGAAAAAGGTGAATTTTAATCACGTTTCGGTCTCAGTCTGTGGGTTTCCGAATATCCAAAGCCAAAATAGGTCGACCGCGCATCTAAACAGCATGCGCGGTCGCCACGCTCGTCTGTCCTCTTCTATCATTAAAAAATATTAGACTTATAACCTTATGTAAGTACTTGGGTTTGTAATATCGACTTTTCCAAAGACAATATTATTAATGTTGTGGAGTTCTATCTTCTTCGCAGTAGTTAAAAATAATTACTTTTTAATGTTGACTTTTAACTGACCTCCCAAGCTAGTTGAGTGACGTCATGTACAGTTCGGTATCCTTGTGCAACTAACGCCGGACCGTACTCTTCAAGTCGAAGCAACCGCAACCATTCCTCGAGAGAACCCTGAAATTGTTTATATTATTCTAATATTATAATTAGTTCCTCTAACAAAGAACTTGACCGACAACATCAATGCTTGCGTGAGCGTATCATTGTTTACGCGTTGTCGTTTGGGACATAAGTAGGTGGGTTTAAAAAGATGTATGTAATGCCAAAAAAGTATCCATAGTAACAAAAAAAAACATGTGCGACTCCAGACAGAAGTAATAACTCTACAGACTGGCGCCGTTACGCGTTACGTAACCAAACAAATCAGCCTTTAAGAAGCTAATATTTAAACAGTTAAATGAACACAAGTACTTACAGGAATGTAATCAGGAAGATTGTCAGGGACATTTAAATTTGCGAGTTCAGCCTTTAACCGTTTGCGGTGGTTCGGTTTCTTGATGCCGACCGCCGTCAGGTCTTCCGGTGTCATCCTGGTCACAGTGGGTAGGTCGTAACCAGCCTCTATGAACAGGCGGGCGTATTCTTCCATTTGGAGATCAGCAAGCCACGCATGGATGATATCTGCATCCTGAGTTAAGAAAAAAACAGATTTGTACAGTAAACATTAAGGTCAAATCATTTTCTATGATAAGCAACAAATTATAAGATTATGTTATTATTTATTCCCGTAAATACCTAATTAATAAATACTCCACAAAAATAAATAAACCAAGGCAAAAAATATAATTACATATTAGGAAAATAGGCAGTAAAAAGAACGGACAATATAATCGTCTTGAACAGTGAATATGTAATTTGAAGATCGATTTTCCTTACTTAGAGAATGTGGGTCTACAAATTGTTTTTTGAATTGAACAGGATACATACAATTAGGTATTTAAACCGAAATTCTTAGCGTTGGTTAACATAATACATTTCGAACCTTGAAAAAACATCTAAATATTTTATCTATCATGTAGAATTAAATAAAATATAATATATAAGGTTATGTATATGTAAATTAAATAAATATAATATTTAAGGACAAACTCTAACCGGTAAACCCTGGGCTATCATCGCCCTGACTCTATCGACAGTGTCCCCGCAGTGGCAGGAGGCGTGATGGTGATGCGGCATCCGTCCTGATGCTCTACCGCTGTCTAGAGACGCTGACGAGTGACGGGATCCAGATCCAGCTGAACCTGACGATGAGCCAGGACTGTCTCTACCGGGACTCTGAAATTATATTCAGTTACAAGTTAGGGGATTTAATTTATTTAAATTTTTTTTTTATTAGGTAATTTTAAACTAACTTAATTGCTTCTATATAATGCTAATTTAAGATTAAAAAAAGGGAGAACTTGTTATTAGCTTTCTGATATATAATTAATTGACACCTGATTATTTATTCTACTTCTAAATAAGACAATCTCAACTTTAGGTTTCTGAACATTTCTTATGCTTTAGAATGTTTTGCTGACGTTACATTTGCATTAAATAAGCAGACAAAATAAAACTTTATTTAACACTTTATGTAACATATTTCTACATCTGCAATGTGCACTATTCAATAAATATAGTCTGTAGATATTGTTATAATAACTATACACATTTTATTTTTTATAGAATATTTAGATAGTGCTTTTAAAAAGATGCACACCTAAGGGGTATTTCTTACATCAAACGGTAAATCTAGACACATATTATATTCAAAGCCATTTCTTTGTAATAAGTACCTGAGTCATATCGATGCCCTGATCGTCGCTTAGCGCTAGCTGATGATGATAGTACACGGCCGCTTTGTGTGTGAGTGGCTGCGAGGGCGGTGGAAACGTGAAAGTCCCTCCGCCGGCTGGACTCTTCCCGAGACTTCCACTTGCTCCCGATACGCCTGAGACCCCGGATACCGTGCTGCCATAGTCAGAGTGATCATCTGGAATAAAACAAACCGTCATATTAGTATAAATAAATAATCTAATATACTTTATGATAGTTCAAATTTTCAATTTCGGTTAGTGTATATTTATGATTATTTGACTAATAACACTTGTTACAATTTAGAACGTTTTACTTAAAATCAAAATTTCAATAAAGAAGCGAAACTACGAAAACATCTACATCACTGCTAAAATTATCAACGGTGATTTTGTTTTATTGAAGCTTTGTTGTTTTAGTTAATGAATTAAAAAAATATACTGAAAACAAAGACAACAATCGATTGAACCGGCTGTGTAGTGTAAAATAGTAGTTGTACCCTAAGTTGCGTTACGTACTAATATTATATTAGTGCGTAACTCCCGTCTATGTCCCGTATATATGGTTTATAGTAACCCGACCTAGGTATAAAGATAACTAACAATATTGCGTTGAGTTTCAATGACTTGATTTTGTACATCAATTATACTAGTAAGCGATGAACTGGACTTTTTTAACAATTGCTATTTTCATTGATATTTCGCTCGTATTCGTTGTTGCTGAGTAAGTAAATCTTAAAGTAACCCCTTCCTGTGAGTTTGTCTGCAGTTTAAACGAGTGGCACCCAAATGACCCAAAAAACCAAAACAGTTGTAACGGTTTAAAACGCGAAATTTATTAGTAACTTATTTTCTATTTAATTTAACTACGGCCTGGCGTTTCCGCCCGTATTCACGGCTTCTGTAAAGCATCCGAAACGTTAAATTTAAAATAAGATAATGCTACATTTCGTTTTAAACCATTTTATCTTAACCTCTAAAATCAGCGTTTAAACGACTACACTATGAATGTTAATGCTAGTATTTTGGTCCAAATGTTTCGCTCACCTCGCGTATGCGACGGAGTATCAGGCGGCTGAGGGTAGGCCTGTTCTTCGCACGACGCGTAGCCTTGGGAGCCGAAGCTGGATCCAGAATGGCGATGTTGCGGGGTACCGAAGGCATCGCCAGGTACCGCGGGGGGAGGCACGCGCTTCGCGGTCGCCGTCTTCCCGGCGCCACTTCCCCCGCGTGACATTCCGCCCACTGGAATAAAGGAGACACGATGTTATTCATTGTGCTGAATGTCACATTGTAAGGCCTGACATCCACTATAAATAATTAATCCATTTAGCCCTTTCTACAGTACTTTTGTACATGGATAATATTTAATCGTTGAAATCAATTTAAATTGGAAAAAGGGCGGGATATAATATATTATATACTCATTGCTTACTTATGTTCCTACCAATTTATATATATAGATGCTGTCCATGTTATTAGTCATTTAAGTCTAATGTTGAGACTAGAGATATTTTTAAAATACAATTTTTTTACTAGTCTGACAACTTTTGCTTGCTTTATTCATAAACTAGCCATGTCTAATACAAAAGCTGAAAACACATTATGTTTTCTAGTACCTTTGCGTATAAGTAGATTTACAGTAAAGGCGGTACGTACGTACTTATTAATTAGTACGAAAACACTGTGCTCTAAAAACTCGTCTGATCCGCCCTTACGTTATCTCATTTATGCATCGAGGATTTTCTTTGCGTATATTTTTACAAAGCTAATAAGGCGGCATTAACGTCGAAAGCGTCAAACGCGGTTATCAGTGGGGCGTCGACCGCATTAGCGAAATGAGTTACATCCCTCAACCCACAACACTGATAAACGAAAAAGGCGGGAAGATTTAGTAATAAAACACCATCAATCATGATCGAGCCGTGATCCGATGACCGCATCCGATCGGTAACTAATTGCTCCTACCAGCCGATAACTGGCAAAAATGCCATTAAGGCTTTTTACACTGCGCTAAACTCTTACAAAAAATTATGCTTTAAAATATGGCAAGTTCGTTGTTTGGAAGACGAAATAATAACAATATTGAAATACTGTTGAAGCGACATATTGAGAATTTGTAAGTGAATATATTCGTTTCCAGACTGTTAGGTGGTATGTTAGTATCTTAGCCTTTTTATTTTCGGGGGAGGTTAGAATGCTACTAAATTTATATTACATTTTTATTATATAGATAGATTTAGTCTATTCATAGTGTTAAAACTTCCAGTTCCAGTTGTTTTATAGTTAAAAAAATGTTTTGCTCTCCAGAGCAACAGCACAGAACGCTGACAATGCCGGTTCAAGTTCTGCCCGAGTCGAAAAATATTTTTAATTTATTTTCGATTTTTAAATTATATAGTGCAACATGAAAAAATAATAAAGTTTTCAAATATTTTATTGTTTGTAAAATTTAGGTTCCTAATAACGTTAAACCCTAAATTAAATAAAAATTTAAAAAATGTATGAACATTACTGAATTATAAATTGTCCAGTAAAGTGTGAAAGTGTTAATTCTAATGATAAAGTGAGCGACATTCATATATTATACATATTCTATATACCATTATATTATAGTTTAGTATATTATTATAGCAACAAGCCTAAAGCTGTCTTGATTGAAACAAAGCAGCAATTCGAAATTTTTACCAATCGGTAAACGCCCTTTAGCATCATAAATAGAATCACGTTGTTCAATAATTACAGTTTCATACACACTCGTATGTAGTATTACAGCATATAAAAATAATAAATATTAACGGTTATGTGATTTCATTTGCGAATATGTGGCAATATTGGCTCACACACGCACATATGGATGTAAATATTATTTTTAATTGCTTTTAAATTATCTTATTGGCCATTAGCAAATAAAAACGGATCGTATTAATTATTTGGACCGGTAACATAATTTTTGTTTATTGACCGGTGTCTTCAATATAATCAACAGTATAAACAAGTGTCATCATAAACAGTAATAACAGTATAATGTATTTTTTGTCGCGTTTTAAGGATTTTTATACCCAACTGGAATATATTTAGACTGTGCTCGATTTTGGCCTTTTGTTTTTATATTCTTCACAGCCTATCTCGGCTTTAATTACCCGAGTTTATTCGCACTGACTACGTTTGATGGATTCCTTCAGAGTTCTGACATTACTTTCGCACGCTTTACGAGGACGAGAGCAGCTATAAAAGTGGCATTTTAGGGATTACTGTTGATATAATGACATTAATTTGTTACTTATCCACTATACTTTCTCGCGGGCGGTGTTAAACCTGATTTATACTTTTCTGTTTGTTAACCAGTAGGAGTTGGAAATGTGATTTGTGATTTGATCAGATAACGTCATTGGGAAGTATTCAAAATGGGTATTATGGTGGGTTATGCGGCAGAAATATTACTTCCACTGTAAAACAATAGATTTTACTTAAAATAAAATTAAACATATTGAATAGTGCATCTGTGATTTAGTCTAGTCTTAGCTGTGACCTAGCCAAATTTTGTATGTTTTTTTTATACATCATGCGTACCACTGAGCAATGAATACGATAATGCAATGTGAAGAAAAAATATGTATTACGTTAATAAAGCAATTAAAAGATAAATGCTTAATATTCATTCTCATCACCGCAACATATAGCTACTGACTGTTCGTAATAGTTAACCTTGAGAAGCTGTTTCCGCTATATAAAGAGCTTTCAACGCATTGTCTGCACAATAAATTAACATGATCACAATTGTTAGTTGAAAGCCATTTAGACGGCGTCTAGTGAATCAATTAGGAGCAAATCTGTGTACCGGCATAGGATCGATTCTAACCACATTCTTCGTAGTCAGACTTTATTAAAATACAATTATGCGGCGCCAACATTATTGCGTTGTTATTTTTAGCGCTTACTTAATTTGCAAACTCGATTTATTATCGCGGGTATCATTTATCTCTATAATTCTGTCAGTCTGGAAACGGTGTCGCAGAAAAGTTACTCAGTAACGATACGAAGTACCGATCCTTAGGCTGTGGTCTCCTATACATATAAATCCTATTCAGTCAGATCAGTGCTTAATTCACCTCAGGTTCCCTTTATCAAAATCGACGTTTACGCTCCAATGAATTACAATAACTACAACCCTGATATAACCTGACCCCACGCGTTTTATATCTAACCACCTAACTTGCCAATTTTCGTACTTACTACGTATTAAAATCAACGAAACGAAATAATCAGAAAGCATTACAATAAATTCGTTTAAGAGCAGCAAGATTCAACACAGTGTTGATTAATGAAATCTAATATATTAGGGTAAATCCAGAAGATTACGCAAAGCCACACAATCTACTGAATTGATTGATCGAACCTTCGAGATTCAAGAAATGAGGGCGAATAGTATAGTAGATAGAAAAACGAATGTACACTGATATCTTTATGGTTTAGATCTTTCGTAATAAGTCTTAGACGTTGTAATAAATGATAATAGTGAAGACCCGTATTTCCTAAACAAAGCAGACATATAACTGCATCTGTTAATACTCATCGATTTTATAGGCATACAGGCAATTGAGTAAGCTGACCAAACTGTTGTCTATGTTTGCCCGGGATTTTAAACCAGGTCTCTTACAACTAAACGAATTCCTTGCCAATTACGTTCAGAAAGACAGATAAATAAAAAACATATCATAGTTTACAAAAATAACTTCACTGTACACAAAATACTGTCTGTAGTTAACGCGAGTTAACTTTGGAGGTGTAATAAACAGTCGATCCTTGGACCTCGTAATTTAGAGTTAAATGTATTTCAACATTGAGGTATTTAATTAGTAATGTTATTATCAAATGCTGTCTGTTTACGCGAGTAGTACACATTTAAATAAAACACTTTACGGTTTAAAACGCGATATATATTAGTAAAACCTATTTGAAAATTATATTTACTGACTGACTTTGAATCCTGTGTCTCTTTGCGACCACGGCTGCTGCAAAGCATCCGAAACGTCGGGCCATAGTTAAGATAGTTTCAAATAAGTTTAACTTATATATATCGCGTTTTAAACAGTTGAAGTGTTTTATTTAAATTCACTGTACACAATTAATTAAAATCGAATAGTTTAATACAAATTTACAGGTCTAATAATTTAATGCAATTAATAAACATTAGTTCACAGATAGTGAGCAACAATATCGGTTAATATGACAAATTGTTATTTCGAGTCGCTTAATAACTGTACCGATACTGATATCCAATAAAACTGAAATGTTTATAGCTTGTATATGGAGTATGTTTATTGGTGTTATGAATAGACGATAAAATTATATAAACAAGCCGCCCTACGGGAGTTTAAGACGTCTACAAGTAGTAGGTATATACGTATGATAGAGGTTAAAGAAATACCAAAGTTTGTATTTTACAATCTAATTAAGTTAACATATCTCTGAGGAAAGGAAATACAAAGGAGAACAATAAATACAAACTTATTACCAATAAAACAATAGAAGTCATACGCGTAAAATACGCAAACGACAATAGCTTAGTGGCTTTTAAATTTCACTCTTAGACAAACAAGGAAACGGCCGTGAAAATAGCATTTAAAGTTCGTTGAAATACTAAAATGGAAAGCGATTGACATTTTCCGCGAAGGCTGTATAAACTGTTGTTTCTTGGTAAAGATATTTTGCAGGTGCGACTTCGTACGTTGATAATACCTACCTGCTTTCGAGTTAAACAATATAGTCGAAAAATAAACAAAGAAAAAAAATAGCACAGTTTTTAAATAACAAAACTGTAAGTATTTAAATAAAACACTTTAACGGTTTAAAACGCGATATATATTAGTTAAACTTATTGAAAATAATTTTAACTACAGCCCGATGTTTCGGATCGCAGGCGTGGTCACGTTTTAAAACGTTAAATTGTTTCATTTTAATTTACGTATGTAGTCTACTCGCGTAAACTGTAGATTTTGTCTGTCACTACAATTTTAATACTTTTGTAGACAGTATTTAAAATTGTACGTTTCATATTTAAATTTCTGACTATTTTTCTAAAATGTAGCTATTTTAGTTTTTCACAAATTGTCAAGGCGTGTCATATAGATTACAGTTACAAGTTTCATTAAATTAATAAACAACCGTGATGATGATTAACGATCAACAGGTTGAAAAACTAATCGAATTACACCCATCGTAAGCCATCATGAT